ATTTGTTGTTAAATGTTGCAATTCCTAGCCAATGTTGTGTAAACACATGAAACTCATAGTGTTGTTGTGCTTCAAACTCAGTGAGATGAAATATACAATTTTATTGTAACTTACTATGTTTCCCCATACACTTGTTGTTCTGGTATGTGGTGAAAGACAAGTTGCATTCTCAATATATGAGGGAAAGCCGGGTTAAGCAGAGTGAATTGATTTCTGCCACTACCATAAACAAAGCAAAAGAAAGCTGTCTTGTGTGCAACTTTTATATGCAATCTGTACAATGTAAATTGTACATTCCTTCTGCAAATGTGTAAGTCAATTTCATTAAGGAAAATTAAATTTATCTCTTATTGAGAGAGAGAGAGAGAGAGAGAGAGAGAGAGAGAGAGAGAGAGAGAGAGAGAGAGAGAGAGAGAGAGAGNAATGTTTCCAATAGCATTAGGAATGCTTGAGGTGGAAAAGTGAATAAGAAAATAAATATGTGGAGAAAAGTAAAACTCTCACATTGTCTATGCCTTGTATACAGTATGATGTTGCTTTACTTATGAGCTTGAATCTTTGCCTTATAGTGACTAGACAGTTTTGAAATATTTCCACACTGCTTCCAGATTGATTAGTTGTCAAAATCTCTATTTAATGCTTTAAAACAGGGGTCCCCAACCCCCGGGCTGTGGCCCACTACCGGACCTTGAGCCTTTTGGAACCGGACCACAGAAGTGGCGGGCGAGCGAGTGCACAAGTGCGCAAACAGAAGGGAGTACGCCCACTCTATTTATGCAAGCAGTGGGTGCAAGTGCCTGTTGCCCATGCAAATGGAGCTACGAGTGTGTGCGCGCGCCTGCCCGCCACTCGCACGAAACCATCTGCTCTCCCGTCCCCCCACCGGTCCACAAAGCCTTTAAAAGACATGACAACTATATGTTTACTCACACAAATATATTTCTAATATACACACAAATATTTCTAGCACATACACTCACACAGAGATTCACTCAAACATAGGATGAACAAAGGAGATCATAAGCTTTAAGAACTCCCGAATAGTCACAGTTCAGTCTTATAGATTACAATCCTATGAATTCAGTAATTGTTCAATAAATGGACATTGGAGGGAAGCTGGCTTTATGCATACATGTTTACCATGGCTGTGTGTTTGCTCATTCTTTCTTATATTTGATCATATTAAATGTGTTCAGGACAGATGCAAACACTGAAGCTTCTTATGTCAAATATATTGCATATAAAAACAATTTAAATATTACAAATTGTTACTGTTCCATTTATTTTAGATGGGAAAGACAGAATACAACATCCAGGAAGATGTGATGGAGTGCAGCATTATGCAAGCGAGTATCTGACTTGTGAAATAGAATTTTCCCTCCCTCAGTGTTCTTCTCCCATACAGAAAGTCTGCCAAATCTGTCTCAGAAAATTAGGGCAAATTTTGTAAATATAGAAAGTACTGCACGGAAGGAAATCATTCCATCATCAGAAACATTTTCACTCAAAGTACTGTACATATCTGAGTTCTGCCTATTGTTACATTTAAATGTATTTAATTGTACTAGTTTATAACTTGTCTTTTCATCCAATGAATGCTCTATGTGCATACAATTAAGATTAAACAGCTATACTAAATGACATTCAGACACATCTGGAAAGAATCGGAAGAGAAAAATTTCATTACAATCAAAACAAATAGAAGTTCTCGTTTATTCATGACTCTGTTGCTTTGACAATTCAATAATACTGGCCTTCGTTTCTGTATGTTGAGCAAAGTCAAAAGTGACTTCAGGATGTGTAAAACTGTACTTTGGAAAAATAAACTATAGGAAGGTCATCCCTGTGTTGGTTGTTTTTTGCAAATTGATCTCGCACTATTTCTGGCAGAGTGGATGACGTTTATGTCAAAGCCAAATAGAGATTTCTAATACTCCCTTGAGAAAAAGTATAAAGGAAAATTAACTTTTGGAGAAAATACAAAACAGCTGGGAATCACAAAGGCTAAAGCCCGCTATCTATCAATTTATCTGTGTCCACAATGGTATTACTCATAAATCTTGATAGAAATCTTGCAGAAGCTGGGGAATGGCTTTGTATTTTCCTGAACATGTAATGGTATGTAGGAATGACCTTAGGAGACCCTGAGAAGAGATGGAAACAGTCAGAGAAGAGGAAACCTAGCCCATGGCTGCACAGTGGGTGGGGCAAGAGGCTCAAGACAGACCCTCCCTAAGTTATCAGGTTCTAAAGATGATGCCAGGAAAACTGTATTTTCAAACTTGCAAGATTATTTTAATATTAAATGTTAATTAATTAATGTTAATGTTAAAGATTCTGTTCTCCAGCTCCCTACTCACCCCAACCCCCCATCTCTGTCCTCCACCATTCATCTTTTTGGTTATCATATTGATATATTATTCTCATTGTATTCCTTTGTCATTGTTTATTTTATTCTATCATTTTACTTCTCTTCTGTTTGCACTCCTTTCCTTTTCTTCCTTTTTATTATTGTAAGCCACCTAGAGTAACCCCATGGCAAATAAATTTTAAAATAAAAAATAAATGTGGTTTTACAATAAAGCAGATTTAATCCATATGGCCGTATTTCCTGTTTGGTCTACCTGGTAAGGTTGACAATATTATTATTCATTTTTGGTAAAACTTTTGGATTAGTCAAGTTCCACTCAGTAATATTTGAAGGTTTCAAGATATTCTCCCCCTCTCTAAAGGACTAGTATCAAATTCAAACTATTTCTGTTTATTAGTTTTAAAAAAGCTGGTGATATTTCCAGAATAGATGCTATCAACATGTAAGAGATGATGTGTCACCATGGTAAGCTACCCTCTGGCAGGTTAACATGGGGGTCTCAAACACAGCTGTGAAGCAACATGTACAAATAGAACACAGCTCCCAGTCCACACCCCAATGAAGGCATAATATTTTCAGTTTCTTGTCGATATTAAACATGAAAAATAACTAAACTGTAACATTTGCTGCAGATCAATATGAAGTTGGAAGATTAAAAAATGATTGCATTGCTTATTAGCCTTCTTAAACAGAAAACTGAAAACTGTGCCGAGAAGAGAAGTTTCAGATGAATCATACATCAGTATCAATTATATTAAAAAATAATGAATAAGAAACTGATGCCAAGATCAGTGGGTTTATGCAATGCCATTCCAAAGGGATAATGCTTACAAATGATACTGATAGAAAAAGAAAGAAATCAAAGAAAACAACCATATTAGTCATGGTTGGTATTGTAGTGATAATTAGATGTGACCAACCAGAAACCAAAATTATTGGCCTGAAGAGAATTCATGGATTTTGCAATTATGTGACATGGAAAATAGTCAGCAGGAAGCCAGGAATGCCTAACATCTGCACATTGCCAACAAAGCCACAGTAGCACATCTCCATTCTGGGAAACTGAGAATCCATACACAAACTTATTCTTAAAACCTGTCTTCTATAAAATCTTTCTCACTCTCATTAGCCAAAATTCTGGAGTCTCCCTTTCTCCTCTTTGCCTATCCATTCTATGTACAAACCTCTCTGGGCAGGAATGGATTACTCTGAGTTTCAGCAAGAGTTCTTTCTAAAGTAATTCCTATGAGAGCAAGTCAGTTCAGCATCAAGTTTCTTGTAAGGCAGGGGTTCCCAACCAGGGGTGCGAGACAATACTCCAGGGAGTGCGAAAACTTGGGTTTTCAAAATTATAGTGCATATGGATAATTCGCTGCCATTATTTTGAATTTTTGTAAGGGGTGCGACAATATATCAGAAGCGTTCTAGCGGTACGGGGTATAGAAAAGGTTGGGAGCTGCTGTTGTAAGGGGATAAATCAGCAAGTTGATAAAAAATGGATACATACACACACTAGGGGCTGGTCAACACACATTGATTTTTTCCAAGATTCTGGACTGCTACCACCTAGCTCTCTTTTCCAAATTAACACTACTGACACAATCTAATGCTTTAATGCTCAAATTCATTGCCAAATGTTGCAATTCCTAGCCAATGTTGTGTAAACACATGAAACTCATAGTGTTGTCGTGCTTCAAATTCAATGAGATGAAATATACAATTGTATTGTAACTTACTATGTTTCCCCATACACTTGTTGTTCTGGTGTGTGGTGAAAGACAAGTTGAATTCTCAATATATGAGGAAAAGTCGGGTTAAGTAGAGTGAATCAATTGATTTCTGCCACTACCATAAACAAAGCAAAAGAAAGCTGTCTTGTGTGCAACTTCTATATGCAATCTGTACAATGTAAATTGTACATTCCTTCTGCAAATGTGTAAGTCGATTTCATTAAGGAAAATTAAATTTTATCTCAGAGAGAGAGAGAGAGAGAGAGAGAGAGAGAGAGAGAGAGAGATGCTTTAAGCTTTCAGTGAATTTCCAGGCAAAGCTGGAATTGCAGTCTTGATCTTCATTTATTTCCACACCAGTTTTTATCCACTATGTTATATAATTATGCAACACAATGTGCATCTATAGCTTCTAACTACGTTTCATAAATAAGGTGGAGCATTTCTGAGTGAAACAAAAAAAACACTTTTCTGATCTTTTAAAATACATACGTCATATGCATTTGTCTATGGAAAATAATTCAATCTGATGCACAATAATGAACTTTATTGCAATCCGAGACCAGCAACATTCTGATGCACGTGGTCAGCTAATGGTTTGTAATGACTGCTGTTTCTCCTCTGCCTGCAGCAGCCCTAAGCATGTGATAAATGGTTCACCACAAGCAGATGCTAGCAGCTTGTCAAATTAAACCTCCTCATTGTGGGTTTAAGAAATACCATGAAACCAGACCACCCAATGCTACAACTACAGGAAAAAGAGAAAGACATGGAAGGATAAAGGGGAGGGAAAGGAACTGATGATGAGGTGAAAAAGAAATGGTGAAGAAGGAAGAGGAGAAAAGATATTTCTATATTGGAAAATAGTAACATGATTACGAAAGTGGCATTGTACTCACGCTTTCCTTTTCGGAAGATGATTGCTTTATGTCTAATCCACTTCCACTGCCACCACACTAAAGACATTTTTTAAAAAACAGAAAGAAGAGTAACCAGTACATTAAATCAGCAGATATAGTCCCGCTAAGAAAGAAAAAAAAAATCTCTTGTCTACATCAGAAATGAGGAAACATGGCCATTAAGATGCTACTGAACTACAATCCTTAATGTGTTATGCTATTTTGGCATGCTAGTTGGGATACTGGGAACTGTAGTTCAGGAACATATCAAAAGGTACAGCATAACTTATTGGGTTTATCTTAATTTTTCCTCATCAGCTACAATGCTTTCATATAAAATATTAACAAAGCTGTATAACCATCTGCATTAATATTCTGGAGACAAAGTCTGCCAATATTGCCACATTATAACACATTAGACCAGGCATGTTAAACTCGCAACGTCACATGACATCGCGCGACGTATTGCGACTTTTTCCCCATTGCTGGCAATGGGGTGGGCGCGGTTTTGGTGTGACGCATCCGGCCAGTGGACCGGCAGTTTGACATGCCTGCATTAGATGATAGGGGAAATCATGAGTCAGTGTAAGAAGACATTTTTGTACTTACAAAGTCCAGATTCTCAGCATATTTAGCTAAATGTTCTCAGAAATCAATGCTGGAAAAGATTCCCATTTGAGTTGAACAGCAGCTACTGCCAACGGAACAGGCAATATTGGCCTAAACTGACTACTTTTCTGATTCCACGGCCTCACTAACCTAATCTTCCTTTAAACTTCCACCTTCTATTTCTTAGACACAAGGAGATCAAACACTTCTTCATGTGTTTCAAATTAATAACAAATGTCACTTGACATTTTAAGTATGATTGGTGAAAACAACTTAATGAAGTATGTTTCGAGTATAGTTAAGATTAATCAAAGTTCAGCTAGATTTGGAAAACACAACATACTGTGGTTAAGCAAAAAACAGAAGCTCCATTGGAGGGAAAGTTGGAGTATGCAGGCTTGACAGGAACTGAAGATCATTCTCAGAATGTTAAACTAAAATTCAGCTTCCAACATAACCTGCCCAGCATAAAGAGGCTGCCATATGTTCACATGTCCCAAAGGTGCTTTTTCCAAAAAGTTCTTGATTTTTTCTTGGAAAATGTTTCACTTCTCATCCAAGAAGCTTCAACAAGAAAGTCCAGTTGCCTTTTGAAAAGCACCTTTAGGACAACCATGACCTAAATGTTTGAGAATGTCCACAGATAATATGTTTACACGTTGGAAAAAAACATCAGAAATAGGGTCACTCACCGTATCACAGTCATCATCTTCTTCAACACACTGGTAACCAGCAGCCCAGGGATTATCTTTTATTTTTAATTCTACAATGATGCCCTACAAAAGCAGAAAACAAATATGACCAAATATGACCAATATTTCCCCAAGGCAAAAAGAGCCTCCTTCCCAGTTTAAGGAAATATAGAATTCCCAGGTCTGTGCCCCCCAACCCCAAAATGCCCATTTTATTTTAAGTCGATATTATTTGTAACACAAGCATTGTTAGCTTATGATTGAAGCATTAATACCCAATGTAAAAAAGAAGAAAGTAAGGCAGGAGAACAAAATCAATACAGGCGAGGAAAGTGCTATAATAAACATTGTGCCTTGCGGCAGGAAGTGTTAGATTTAATCCTTCTAATCTTTTCCAGATCTATGATTCTGATTGCAATGGTTTTTGGAGGACCGAGCGCGCACAGATTTGACATTTCCAACATTTATAAACTATTTACAGATTGCTGCTATTTTCTGTTGACCCTTCGTAATCTGCACAGCCAACTAGCAGCAAGGTGCATAATTCTGTAATTCCTAAAAAAAGTGGCTTCTAATTCAAAATCCAAGCATTGGTTGTTATAATTGCCCTGTAATACCTTTAGATATAACTTAGCACCACAGCACTAACTCAAACAAATCATCTCAACAAGATACATCAAGCTATTTTTTAAAGTGGGCTCATCCATTCAGTCTCTTTACCCTGACTTCCAAGATGGCCGGTTTACCATTAGTTGAAAACATCACAACAGAACTTCAGAGCCTCCATCTTGAGTACCGGGGCCTGCCAGTGGTGCAAACTGAAGCTACGGCCAAGTGATCTGGCAAAAACGTGTTTCTATAACAAATATCAACAGGGTCCACATTCTTTTTTATGTTCAAAAAAGAAATTTGAGGGAGTGCCTGTGCAAAATTGTGGCCAGAAACCAGCAGCTTCCCCAGTGACAACTCCCATAGTATTTTCCTCCTTTTCCTCCATATTGAAGTACACCCTTCCTTTATTATCCCTCATTTCAGAAGCACAGAAGAGTCTATTTCATGGCTCAAAAGGTAAGGCTTCCTTTAATTAGGGAGAACAAGAAAGAAATATTTTGAAAGTCTGAACTTGGTTTTGGCTTTGTCCTTCCAAAGGTTGCTGAAAACCTTGCCTGAGGCACTGTAGGAGGCCAAGACCCTTTCAGTCTGGCTCAGAAAGCCATGGCTCCCAACACCAGCAGCACAAGGTACCACCATTCCTTGCCACCCTCAAAATAAAGACATGGCAAGAGCCCACCACCCTTAAAACCTCCATAAAAGGATAGAGTGAAAATGAATCCCAAAGGATCAAAAGACATTCCATTCTGCTATTGCTTTTAGCCATTTTATCCCTCACCAACAAATATCAGAGTTTGTACATTGGCTTTTGCACTGCAATATAAAGGAAAAAATGTTTTTTTTTTAAATTGGGAACATCAAGACTTGGATGCTAAAATGCTCTCGCCTGTCTCAGGCACATGATACATATTTGTCATATTGTTCAGGTACACAACTGTGCCAGATCTTCAGACTATGTATTAAACAACTGAACTCCTTTACAAACTGACCTATGAAAATAGTTTACAATATTTTAATAATTATTAATTTTTAAAAGTTTCCATATAGAAAGTATAGAGAACAGATTTCTCCCAACATGAGCCTAGGGATTGGGAGTGCGCAACTAGTTGGACTGACTCTTAATCCACGGCCATTGATCTGGAAAAGATTAATGGCCAAAGTGCAACGGCCAGTGTGGATTACCTGTCTACCAATGGTTCCTGTGTGGACGCTGGACATGCAAGTTTCTTTTTTAGGTAGGGATGAAAGCAATGACATGCTTCCTACTATTCTGTGATTCATGATTATCAGATTTTAGACAGACCCACAGGAAGAACTTTTCAGCCACACCAGGACTGCAGAGCCAGTGGGTGGAATGAGCATGCAGATTTAAACAAGATTAAAGAGGGGGAAAAAGTGTCTCTCTGAATCTGTGGAGGCCTTTCCTTTCAAGTTAACAACTTGGAAACGGAGAGCAGAACATGACTGTCAGGCAACTAGACGCCCCTTGGAATTATACAGGGAGAACATTCCAGCTGTAGCCTGCCGATTTAATGGGGTCATAGACAAAAATCACAAGGAGCAGCAAGTTATTTTTTTTTAACCCAGAGTTTTGTGTGTACAGCTGTTTTTCAAAGCTGTTCTGGAGCAGGCATTCCAAGGTATTTTACAACACTCATCTCCTTGCTATCTTTTTCTCTCCAGGGTCATGAAAACTAAGCAACCCAAAAGAGGAGGCTATTCCGTGGGTGAAGTCATACTTCAATACAAATCTGTGCATGCCCAGATTTTTCTCTGTAGGAAAAAGTGAGAAATATCACTTCCCTAGTTCCAAACATCACACTGAGATGACTCAGGGAGCTAGTAGCTTGAGATCACCTTAAAGCCCACTAAGGGCAGCCATGGGCTACAGGATCCCAGCCCCCCTCCCCCTTCAGCTTTCTTGCATTGTTATAATAATAATAATAAAGTTGGAAGGGACCTTGGAGGTCATCTAGTCCAACTCCCTGCTCAGGCAGGAAACCCTATACCAATTCAGACAAATGGCTGTCCAGTCTCTTCTTAAAAACTTCCAGTGTTGGAGCATTCACCGCTTCTGGAGGCAGGTTGTTCCACTGGTTAATTGTTCTGACTGTCAGGAAGTTTCTCCTTAGTTCTAGATTGCTTCTCTCTTTGGTTAGTTTCCATCTGTTGCTTCTTGTCCTGCCTTCAGGTGCTTTGGAGAATAGCTTGACTCCCTCTTCCTTGCGGCAGCCCCTGAGATATTGGAGCACTGCTATCATGTCCCCCCTAGACCTTCTCTTTATTAAATTAGACATACCCAATTCCAGCAACCGTTCCTTATATGTTTTAGCCTCCAGTTCCCTAATCAACTTTGTTGGTCTTCTCTGTACTCTTTCTAGAGTCTCAACATCTTTTTTACATCGTGGTGACCAAAACTGGATGCAGTATTCCAAGTGTGGCCTTACCAAGGCATTGTAAAGTGGTATTAACACTTCACGTGATCTTGATTCTATCCCTCTGTTAATGCAGCCTAGCACTGTGTTGGCTTTTTTGGGCAGCTGCAGCACACTGCTGGCTCATATTTACAGTAAGTGATTGTCCACTAGGACTCCGAGAGCCCTCTCACAGTTGCTACTGTTGAGCAAGCTGAATTGGAGTGGGGTAGTTTTTCTCAGATTTTGGGGGGGGAACAAAAGAAAACTGGTGCATTGAGCAAACATAGCACATCTATCTGTGATAAAAAATAATAATAACACCACACTGAAGGGAGAAGCAAAGCCAAGCAAAGCACCCTTTTTGCAACAGTATCATTACTATTCTTTCTATACTGCTGAAAAAGAATTAATATAAAATTTCCAGTCCTAGCCACACAAAAAAGGTACTACAGCACTGCTAATTTACTGAGCACTGAAGAAACTATAACTAAACAATAGAGTTTATAATCTATTTGGAAGTAGAAAAACTAGATTTGTATCTCAGTAACCTCAGGCAAGGATACTGGAGTAATTGATGCTTAGATTTAAAGAGGCAGACGCAATGAGTGAATTGCTTCTTACACTCAGGTCCCCATTGATCCCTATGATCCAACCATAGGTCTGTCTTGCTTGAACCCTGAACAAGAGAAAGAAACTCTCCTTCCTTCTCTCTTTCGATAGCCCCTCAATTTAAAAAATGATCTCCCTGTTCTTTCCCTTCATTCTCATCCCTACGGCAGAATCCTAGAATCCATTCTCCACATCCTGCCACTCTGCCTCCTGAAGCATCTCTTCTCAATCATGCATAGAGTTGGCAAACATGTCTGTGCAGTGAGATCTCCATCTGGGATACTGCCATATCCCAGGGCATGGCTGAGGTATCTTATCTCACTGTAAACATACATATAGCATGTGCTCAATCTCCAAGGGTAGATAAGTGGAAATAATAGGAGCAGGCAGTGACAGGCCCGGGGCTGCAAGTAGCTGCATGACCAGAAATGGCAGAAAAAGATCCCACCATGATGTTTATATTCTTAGGGAAGAAAAGGTAAGGACAAGTTGGCCTTCTCTGAAATCATTCTCAAGAATTTTCTAGTACTGTCTGTCAGTGTTTCTCAACCTTGGCAGCTTTAACTGGGGTGGGCTTCAACTCTCATGATTCCCCAGCCAGCATTAAAGCTTAAAGCTGCCAAGGTTGAGAAATACTGACTCAACTGCTCCTTTGATTCCCTACTACTGATCAGTCCCATCTCTGTGTCATGGGGACAAGTCATGTAGAAGCTGCTAACAAAAAACAGTGTAGTTACACCTGGACATAATGACTCATTATGGAAGATAATAGGGAATTTCAATATTCCTTGTCTATTTTTTTAGCATATTATTGATTGCTTCTTTCCTTAGCCTAGAGCTCTGGTTGTTAAAAACTCTAGCAATAATTGTGTTCTTCATAAGCCAATTCTGGACAATGCAAGATTATGCAGGCATGCCATGCTATCATTATGCAGTACATGTAATTCTGCCTAACTGACCCTGCAACCAAATTCCACCCAGGGGCTAGCCCTGATTCTGAAAATACTTCCTTATGATATCATGCAGCCAATCAGATTTTATTGTGAGATACCAGGAAAATCAATAAAAATGAGATCATTGCTTCCTCTTCTTACTTTTTACATTTCCTTTGGGAGGTGAATCCCCACGAAACATTTTTAGCATAAAACTAATGCATTTTATGGAGTTTGGATATAAAACATTTCCCACTGAACATTGTAATACATCAATAACATTCTAAACACAATTCTCCAATTTAACTTTAAAGATCTAACATCAGAGTTTGCATGTGGGCTTTTGTTTTTAGCCTTGTTGTGCAGATCTCTGTCATGCAAAGAACCTCAAAAAGTAGGCAAACAATCAAATTTCTTAGTATGTTTATGAAGTTGTTTAATTACAGTGTTCTCTAAACAATGCTTCATCCATTAGCATGTCATGTTACTACTATGTGCTTGTGTTTGTGTTCCTCAAGATAATCCATACTTCCTGTGAATTTGTTTAGTCTTGCTGCTGTACAGTATACATTTGAAATACAACAACTTTTTTTTTCTTAAAAATCCAAAGAACCTGCCAATCTAAAATATGTATAACTTCCCACTGATTAGGGGAGTAAAAAATATAGCTGCCTTTTGGACTTTATTACTTGGAAAGAAAAAAAAGGAAAAAGGTAAAGGACTCCTTGTGGATTTTACTCTGCTAGTCATTGCCAACTATAGGGGGTGGTGCTCATCTCCATTTCAAGGCCATTGAGCCACAGCTGTCCGAAGATATTTCCGTGGTCATGTGGCCATCACAGAGTGCTGTTACCTTCCTACTGAAGTGGTACCTATTTATCTATTCACATTTGCATGCTTTTGAACTAGCAGGAGCCAGGGCGAGGATGGGAGCTCACCCCTTCACATGGCACTCGGGTCTCGACCTGAGCTGCCAGCTTTCCAGCCAACAAGCTCAGCATCTTAACCGCTGAGCTACCGGCGCTACCCTTTATTGCTTGGAAAGCCATAGCAATATAGTAGTACAAAGAAACTCGCAGATTCAATCTCTCACCCTCTTCCTGATGGACCGAGAGCAACCGCTCCTGAAATTCTAGAGAGGCATTGCCAATGGTCTGACTCAGTAAGGCCTCTTACTATATTGTTTATTCATGAAAGAGAAGTTATCTATTACTTATCAATTGTCTGCAATTTCTCTGATTATACTGGAAGGACTGGCTAAGTGTTATTGTCCTATAAATGGTCGATAGGAACAGCTCATGTAGTCTAAACTGTTGCCATCTAATGTTGTACTTTTGTTTTGTTTCTTTGAATCAGGGTTGAGCCCTGGCAACTCCCTGGACTGGTCTCTGCAGTTTTCCTGGCAACATTTTGCCCTTCCCTTCCCCTTTCCTATGAATGAAAGAAAGTGACCAGCCCAAAGTCACCAGCTGGCTATGTGACCAAGGTGGGATTAGAACTCATGGTCTCCCCATTTCTAGCCTTAACCACTACACCAACCTGACTTTCAACGTTGTACTATATCAGTATTTTAGAGTTTTTCTATTGCAACTTTTATTGTATGGATACCATTTTTAAAATGTTGGTCTACTAACTAAAAAAAATAACTGAATGAACATGACCTATTTAGGTAGTGCCCTTTTTTTTCAAAAAATTAAAATAAAATTTTATTAGAAAAAAAGTTGGACACTGGCAATTAAAAAACAAACACCAGACGGCAAATAAGTACCTTGGATGAGGTCTGCTACGTGGCTGAGCACTGGATCTGTCAAGTGTGTATACACTTGCCTGAAGGCTAAAGGACAGGGTAAACACCGTATCACACTACTGGAATTAGGTCAATATTCAGCCATTATTGGTGTTCATATTTAGCATCTGGGGGCGTGGTGGCTGAGAGGTTAAAGAGGCTGAGCTCATCAGCTGGAAAGCTGACACGAGCGTTGCACAATGGGGTGAGTTCCTGTTACTTGCCCCAGCTGCTGCCCCCCTAGCAGTTTGAAAGCATGCAAATGAGAGTAGATAAATAGGTACTGCTTCAGTGGGAAGGTAATAGCATTCTGTAAGCCTCAGCATATAGTCATGCTGGTCACATGACCATGAAAATGTCTTCAGACAACACTGGCTCCCTCGGCTAAGAAATGGAGATGAACATCGCCCCCAAGATTTGGAAGCTGAAGCACCATTTGTGATTCTGAGCAGTAGAGTAGTACTGCAGATGACAAGAGAACTAAAAACGCATCCTGTAGTCTTCCGTGATGATATCCAGGACTCTGAGTCTCTTTGTGCCAGCTCAAAACCATAACTGATCATTACAAGTACAAGAGAACTTTATGCAGATCTCCTACAATTTTACCTTCGTAATAATGAGGCTGCCTGAGGCCTGAGCTCATAATCCAGCCATTTTACCCCCCATAAGCACAAAGAAGGAACTGAAAACTTCCCTGTTCACCTCTGAATTATATGTGTGCTCGAAATATGTTAGGGAAAACATGGTTTATTCTAACTATGAACAGAAGCAATAGCTCTCCAGCAGTAGTGGGATTCAAATATGTGATCAACCGGTTCTGTGTGTGGATGCCGCTTCTGGAAGTGCATTCTGGGCCTGGGCAACAAAAAATTAGCTACCGGTTTTGCCGAAGTGGTGCAAACCGGCTGAATCCCACCACTGCTCTCCAATCTTCTTGACATCCTGCACAAATGGGAAACTGAACTTGTAAGATGCTGTTTGCGCCCTTCAGCAACACAAGTTCTGGTTATCACATACTATATCAAAGCATCATTAAATATGTAAGCTCTGGCATAGTTCAAAGTGTTGGACTAATTCGCTGGATGGCTTTGAGCGTATCCTCATGCCAGTGGTAAGCCATGGATAAGAATGACTCTGATTGCTCTTAACATAAATCAACATCACTTCGGTGCTTGCTGCTTCCCCATCTGAAATCTGATTATCAGCAGGCTTCTTGGGACAGGATAATGAATTGCTATTGCAGATGATGCAGAATAAAATTCCTCCCAACTCTGTTCCTTAAATCCAGTTAATGTCTATACATATGTCACTTATGCTTGCTGGTATTTACCGTTTTCTTGCTCTTAGACAGACTACATTAGTCTCCAGCTTCTATCAGCAACTGGAAATGTTTTAGTAAGTCAAGGTCAATCACCTCCTACTAAGGCTTAGCACTTATTCTTCCTATATATTTCTGGGACACTTGCAGCTTGAAGAAATAATCAGCTGCATGTATTATAGATAATTACCTACATCTGTTTCTGAGTGGGTAGGAAAGTCCTCCCCAATGTCTGCACTGAAAAGCAGTAAAGTTTGCTTTTATCCTCCTTCCTACTTAATTTTTAACAGGGGGGAGGGAGGGAATCCTCCATGTTTGTCAGGAATCATTAGCGCCAGAGGATTTCTGCTTTTCTGTATCCAGCAAAAAGAAGAATGCAGCAATGGATTTGATCTCAGTGGGAAGCCCTGGATAAATCTCAGGAATCACTAGACTGGCAAATTAAGCCAATGTCTGAACATGAATTTGAAGATGAAAAATGTTAACTATTTTCACTTCATTATTTTCACCTCTGACTATCACTACCACAAAAACGGTCTGCAGCAATTACTTGCAAATATCCCTCAACCAATCCTTCATAAATGCTATTAAAAGAAAGGAAAGAGTGAGAATAAAATCCAAAGGTTACCTTGGTATGTGGACAGAATGTATATACACAGAGAGAAAATAGAATGGGGAAGAAAACAGATTTTAACCACAGACATCTTTATTTGCACAGGTTATCCCATGTTTGCTGCAACGTGAACACTCAGGAATTCAATTCTGTAACGTTATTAATTGTGGTCTGTTGAGCTGCCAAGTATGTGAAGCTAGACTGACAGTTGTTGGTTGCACTCCAGATGTGTTTCTCAATGCATCCCATATACTGAATGTGGTTTCTATATAAGTCACAGCCCTCTTTCAGTTTTTTCTCCCATACTCCTGGCACACGGGTGTCAAATTCAATCACGTCACATGACATATCGTGACGTATTATGACTTGTTTGCCTTTGCGGAGCTGGGGTGGGCCTGCATGTGACGCATCCAGCCTGCGGGCCGCCAGTTTGACACCCCTCTCCTAGCATCTCAGTTGCATAAAACAGAGAATGAAGTACATAGATGCTTATTTCAGAATGATCAACACTTGTGCCAAAAAATATTAGTGGCGTGGACAGAGGGGGAATAAACTTTATCCAAAATGTTTTGCAGTAATTTTTAAAACAAGAAAGATGTTTATACATTCCTGTACTTTTGTTAGATCCTAAATTGTCCACAGCTGAAGACCAGCAGAGAGTGAAAGATAGCTAGACAGATATATAATGAAGGATAAGATACAGATTGCGTATAAGCATCAAGAGAAATCTCCCTGAAACTACAGATAAGTAAAGTCTACATCATTAGGAAAAAAATAACTAGTCTTTCCTCCTTTGCCTTTCACTTTGGGGAAAACATTGATTTATGATAACCATCTCACTGGAAATAAGCAAGCTCACCTGGTATTTATCAGGATCTGCACCTCCGGCTTGTCCCACAAAAAGTCCTGCTCCTTCTTCCAGCTCTATCTTACCGGATGACCTCTCAAGATGAACCATCTTAAATTCTTCACAGTCCATATAAAGCACCACATTGTAATCCCGCACACTGAGGGCAAAGCGAGTCCACAGATTGACCAGGGAAGGGACAGTAAATGTGGCTGCAACGTTGGAATTTTGAGAATCAGGCTCCGTATAGTAGAATATGATTTGCTGTTTTCCATCTTTCACCTCAGAAAGCTTCACACCAACGTAGATGATTGACTGGGAGGCATCCGTAAGAGCAAAAAGCACCCCTGCGTTGTCTGAAGTGGCTTGAATGTAGAACAAGAGCGAGAAGTCTCTGTAAAAGGGGCTTGGGAGGTGGTACCGTGCCACTTGTCCTGCGTTGGCATCCGGTCTAAACACGTAGGCAGGACTTTTGTCTGGGCCATAGATTTTGGTTATCTGGTCTGGTGGAGGATCTCCAATCAACTCTAAGAGACCAACTTCTCTGCTGATATTTTCTGTTAAGAAAAGAAATGGGATAGTTTCAGAAACAACAGGGATGGTATCCAACACCCCCCTGGAAAATCTCCTAAGAATCAGAGTGGGAAGAGGGCAATTCTGAGCTAGTTGATATGCTTGATCCTATATTGAATCTCACTTCTTCTGGCCATCCATATAGCCCAGCTACTTCCCATCTATAGATTATTTATCTCTTAAAAGGTCCAGTTCAGAATAAAGAATTTATTGCACAGTGAAGAAGGCACGTTGCAGTATCATCGTTCTGAAACAAATAGGATTTCTAGATGGTTCCAGTCTTCTACAAGACTGCCTGCTTACACTTCAAGAAATGTGGTTGTGTTGCAAATACCTACTTAAATTTAAATTTTAATCTTCCATAGATTCAGCAGTTTTATGTCTGTCTGTCCGTCCATCCATCCATCCATCCATCCATCCATCCATCCCTGGAAAGAAACCTCCAGAATTTCAAAGGGACCCAGTGCGGTGGTTTTTAAATGAGAGTCTACTTTTAGGTGAGAAAAAGTGATTTCATTACCCATAAGGGTTCTTTTGCTTAGCAGTTATAACAATAACATTGCAGGTATATTCCTGGGCAAGAAACTCCAGACAAAGTTGCTGTTGGTTGGTAAGCTAACCAAACCCAGATATGGCCTTACATATCTGATGCTTGCCAACAGCAACTTACCCCCTGATCACCCCACCACCACCAATTGAAGTAATTGCAGTATAATCTGCATGGAACTGCCCTTGAAAATGACACAGAAGCTTCGATTGGTCCAGAATGTGGAAGGCCACGTACTAGCTAAAAAACTTGCTAGTGTAGGATTACACCTGGTCACTGTTTGCCAAAAGGCTCCTGGGCCCAATTCAAAGCCTTGGTCATTACCTATAAGTTGTCAGGCTAACATGGTCCTCTTGGAAATCCCACCCCAATAAGAGATCCATAGGGCTGGAATGAGATAACCAGACTTTTCAATAACAGCATTTTGAAATTGTCTGTGTGTACTATTCCAACCCAGAAGCACAGCTTGGTTGATCATTCAGTAAGTCCCTGAAGCCTCTTTATTCCAAAAGCCGTTCAACCATATCTTTGTGGGGCAATCAGTGTTTACTGTGTTAAAGATTATGACACATTATATCAACCGTGTTATTCTTCTGTTTATTGGACATTGGTCAGAATCTTAGTGATGGAGGCGGTATATGAAAATCATAAAATGTAAATCAAGAAGTAACAAATACGTCAGAAAGTGCTAAGGAGTTGGAATGAATTAAAACAATAGCTGACCAGAAACTTCAGGCATAAAATCACATTCTGCTATCCCACCACTTTGGCATTCTCCTTATATGAAGAATGTGGGAGGTACACAGTCTTGATCTTCCAAATCACTAGAAATCTTCAACTGTTTCAGATCTGATCTGGTTTGCTTCAAAGAGGTTGATTTTGATCGGGTATGTCCCAATTCTTTCTAAATCAGCAGTTCTGAATTTGGTTGAATCAATGCAACCCTCTAGTAGTATGGCTCTTATTTATATACATACACATACACATACAAATATACATGATTTCCTGTTTCAGGCTACCAAGTCAGTTGTGAATAATAACAGACATGTTCTCACAGCATCTAACCCAACAGCTTTTTCAATTGGCTGGGTTTGAGTAAGTTTCTGAACCACAAGTCAGTCAACCACATTTTAACCATGACTATATTTGAACAACACACTAATTCAAGAATTCGATAAACTCATTGCCAAACTAAGTGCCATTCCTATTAATTCACACTGGATAAGATAGGTGGCTATATAAATTAGATAAATAAAATAAATATTGGATAATTTATTAGTTAAAATTAGACCTTGCTATCAAAACTTCAGATGGCAAGTTTCATGTTAGAAAAGACATTTCTAAATTACTGCATCAATTAGGATTTTTTCTCTTGTAAATGCATACAATTAAACTCCAAGTAGAAGAATAGAATAGAATATTCTTTTTATTCTAATTAGAATATTTCTAATTACAGTTCATGGAATTAATTAACATATATTTCTATGAATGTGACAGTTGCATATGCATTCATAGAAAGATACCAGTTCCTTTGAATATACAACACAGGACCAACAGTAATCTAATGTACACCACTGGAAACATCTCATACAGACATTCTCCTAAAACCAAATAGATTAAGATTTGGTCCATGCCTGAATGAAAGACCATCCATAACTGTTACCAGTTATTTTTTAAAAAATGGATTTGTTCTGACATCTTGTTCAAATGGTTACAAAGCTTGGAATCAGCAAGGCGTTAGAAAAAACTATTTTTAAAAGAGAAATGAAGAAGTCTCTCTGTTTTTCTTTCTAGGCAGCACTTTACATTTTATGTACAGAATTCAACATATGACATTCTTTTTAAAACAATTCAGGTAATTGATCCAGGGAATAGATAGCCTACAGCCCATGTCCAGACTCTCAAGATGGTAGATATAGGAAAGGCACTTTGCACTATCTATTTTCAGGGTCAGTGCCTACTGTATCTTGCTTATAAACTCTTATAACCGTGTAATAGGCAAGACAAGTTATTTAATGAGGTCATTTTCCCCCCTCCTCACATTAGCCCAAGCCAGGCATAATTCCAGTTGGCCTCTCTTCAAAACCAATGGTGAAAAAGACAGTGTAAAAACAGATTCAGGGGAAAGAATTGTTAGGGATCTTCTTCCTCTTGCAAATATGTCTTCTTCCCTCCTTCTCCAAGAAATAAATCTGGAAAATATTTTTTAAAAAATGGCATTGGAGAATAGACTATCACTTCCACCCATGGTTTGGAAGACAACAGCAAATCTGTGTACAGTAGCAACAAAAGCAGCAGTTAAAACAACTAAACCTAAGTTGGGAGAACTCTTTAACCTAGTGCTTAAATGCAATTTCTCCCAAGATTAAGTCCCTGCCTCAGTTCCTCTGAAGGGGGAGAGGAAGCACATAGTGCATAATAGAAAATCAGAGATTTTCAAAGGGAAAGCATTTGTACTTTGACCTGTGGTTAGAAACTAACTGGAAGATACTAAAAAGTATTTAAATTCCAGCAAAGAATATTTTCTAATTGCAGCCTAGCACAAATATTTTAAATGAAGTAAAGTTTCTTCGCAATATCTAAAGATAGCTGGAACGTATATTATAGGTAGTCCTCGGGGCTACTTCCTACCCAGATTCAAAGTACCAATGGCCATCCCACCCCCCACAGTCATGTGACCGCATTTTGGGTGCTCAGCAACCAGCTCGCATTTATAGCTGATTGCAGTATCACATAGTCAAGTGGTTGCAAATTGTGACATTTTTTTTTTGCTGGTAACCTGCATTTATTTCCAGTTTCCAGCAAAAAAAACCCCACCCATTACAAACAATGGATTTGCATAATGACCACAGCATTTGCTTAACGACCACTGCGAAAAGGATCATAAAATCAGGTGCAGTCACATAGTAAGCCGCTCAATTATGGTCATAAGTCAAGGGCTATCATATATTGGAGTATATGCGACTTCCAGTTTGACTAGCACAGAGGTATGTGCTTTTATGACTCATGGACTTCAACTCCCAGAATTCCTGAGCCATGCTGGGAGTTGAAGTCCACGAGTCATAAAAGAGCCAAGATTGCCTACCCCTGGACTAGCAGAATTGTGTGGAATACTGCTTATTCTTCATTTCTTACTTATATTTTTATACCGTTGAAAGGGAAGGACCCAGTGTATCTGTGGGGCGATCGGCCTTCCATGATTTCAGCCTAGACTGTAAGATCTTCATTTTGACAAGTAGGTCAGGAGAAGCAAGAATTCAAAATCCTCCCTCAGGCAGGGCTCTGTTCCACAAGAATAACATTTTACGGATTTTCAAGACTTCCATGAAATCTATCACAGACCGAGCATCTGTTGCTTGCTGGCAGGGACCAGACACAAGGGAATAATTCACACCAACAACAGGATCTATCTTGTTTCAGTTTGTATTATTTGGATGGGAAAATATTCTTCCTGGACTACAAATGGAAATCCCTGCACAAAGTCTCTAGTGACTCCGCTCAAGGCTCACATTGGAAAGCTCATCCTGAGAATACAGATTCTGCAGCGGCTGCTTCCTTTCCCTTTGTGGCCCCAAGAGAGACAAGACATAGAATGCCATTTTTATCTCTTTGTGTGTCTTTTTCCGGATAAAGTGATCTGAGGATTCAAAAATCATTTTCTATAGAATGTACTCTAACAATGCAGAAGATGTAATACAGCCAATGGTTAGAGCCCAAATACTTTGCATACGTTTGAGAAATTCCATGAGAATGGAAAACCAGAGTCGACAAATGAAAACGGATGACAAAAGTTGTGAGCTGAAATCTACACACCTAGTTCAAAGCCTACAGATTTCCTCGAAGAATTGAAATAATCTTCTATTCAGCTAAACGTTATTCTTGTAACCACACAACTGTATTTAAACCAGGATCGTAATGAGTCATTCGCCGTCTCTAAATAAAGAAGCTGAGAATTTCTAGCAAGCTGGAAAGAGACACTGGATATGAATTTCAATCTGGCTCTGGATGGAGCAAAAACGGAATGGCAGGCAATTTACTTTTTAAAATGTAGAGCCACTTTTATGGACTTTCTTGCATGGCAGGTTTAGATAAATGGAATTAATCTCTATAATTAGCAACAAGGCGGCTCTTCTGCCCTTCAAACAGGATGAATAATTTGGAGTCCAGGTCCTGAGATCTTTGGATGCAATTGAAGAGGAAAATTTAACCTGATAAAATAAGAAACTTATTAAATGCATGACTTGAACTTGAAGAACAATCCTATTAAGTATATTGAATTAGACTTAATTCAATAGTAATAATTAGATTTGTCAATGAAGAGAAATGTAGCTTTTGCCCTCATCTGCTACGTTCTGGACAGCAACCTGCATTGCCAAATAGTGTCAACTCAGCCTGAAAAAAACAATCTGTCCTTCCCTCCTTTTCACTAAAGGGAGC